CTCTCTGTCAAATAAATAAATAGAATCTTAAAAAAAAAAAAAAAACACCTATGAAATCAAAGGTCACACATAAACTGTCAACCACGTAATGGATGGGTGGACAGGCAGGGAGCAGAGCATTTATTCATTAATTCATTAAATTTTTGTTTGTTTCAACATAAGCTCTACGCTCAACATGGGGCTTGAACTCGCGACCCCTAGATAAAGGGTCCCATGCTCTACCGACTGAGCCGGCCAGGCACCCCTCATTGACTCATTCACCAGAATTTTTTCAGCACAGATTCAGTGCCAAAAAGGACTTCGCATGATGCTTCAGAGCATAAACTGGATTCAGCCGGCCAGGGTTCCCATCCCAGCTCCACTTACTAGCTGTGGGCTCTCAGGCAAGTGACTTGGCTTCTCTGATTCGCCTCATCTCTAGAATGGGGTTGATGATGGTAATCGCCTCACAGTGTTTATGTGAAGATGAAATGGATTGTTATTTATGATATATAATATCATTATATATATATGATTATATATATGATTTTATATATATATATATACTTGGCATGGCCCCTGCCACGTTCCAAGTGCTATAGAACTGTTCGCGGCTGTGTATTAGAGTCTCGTTGCTTCTCTAATGACCATTGGTCATGTCACCAGGCCTGGCCTCAGCCACCCACCGCGTCCTCCCCCCCCCATGGCTGTTGCCATGAGGTTGGGGGCCAGTGATCATCCTCTGGGTGCCACCTTTCACCTAGGGTGAAGACCCTTACTTCTGGGGTGTGTTTGGGCTTTCTGCAGGCCCTGGATCTTACCAGCAGGCCAGAGAAAGAGGCCTCAGTGGGTCTGTAACAGTCACCCAGCTGCTCTTTGACCCATCTCTCCACATCAGTCTCCAACTCTGCAACTTCCTCTTTCTGGAAGGGAGCTGCTCCGAGATCCACTCCTCCAGGCTGAGGCACTTCCGTAGCTCCTTGCGATCATACTTGACCGTGACCTTCCCCTGATGCCTTACTCCATGCTGCCAGAGGCCTCACCGGCAGCCCAAGGGGGCCTCTGAAAGTAGATGCGGGTCGCTGGGCCACAGGCTACCAATGCCTGGCCCGGGGCCGCTGTCCGCCCCAGCAGCCATGGGGGCCAAATACGTGCTTCGGGCCCCTCCCTGCACTGCTGCCCTCCTCCAGCAGGCCCACCGGCTGGCTCAGGGCCACTGGCTTGGGCTCTGCCAGAGCTGTGCGGGACCCCTCCCAGCAGATCCGCCTGCCCTTGGTGCCCACCGGCTTTGGGTCTCCTCCGATAATTTTTATTGTCTGAGCCTCCTTTACACTTCCTTCTCTTTGTGGGTGCCAAACCAGACCTACCCCATGCCCAGTGGTGTGTTGGTAAACAGGCTCTGGCAGGGAAGGGTAGGGGGAGGCTCTGATTTGTCACCTCTGCCAATGTCCTTCGTCAGCTGTTGGTGCAGCAGGTGTGACATCTGGAGCAGCTGCAGCCACTCTGGGACCACAGCAGAACGAGGATATGGGAGAAAGTGGTTCCCTGGAATCACCCTACCCTGGGATGTCTTGTGTTGGGAGATAGTATTTTTTCTTTACTAAACCTTTCTATCCACGTGGCTGGGATCCTGCTGAAGGGTGTGTGTGTGTGTGTGTGTGTGTGTGTGTGTGTGTGTGTGTACACAGTGGACTTATCAGGAGAGGACAAAAAAATTGCCAGGATGGAGCCTCTCAGATATTACGCTTGAGTTGAATTTTACAGAATGAGGGGGACTTTAGCAGGGGACTTGGGGATGAGGTTTCAGAGGGAAGAGTATATACAAAGACAGAGGCACGGCTTGTTCCAGAAGGTGTATTTGGATGGAACTGGAGTACAGAGCAGAACTTGGAGCCGACGGGTGTGAGAAGGCCAGAAGGGGGTGGGGGTGGGGCTCCCACATGAGGCTGAGGGGCTGGAACCCGATCCTGGGGCAGGGTTGGCTTGGGGACCCTTCTGGGGCTGTAAGCCAAGCAGTCAGGGTGGAGGCTGAGGCAGCCGGAAGCCAGGAGTCAGGGAGAGTCTGGGTTCCTGGGATCAGTGCTAATCAGCTGTGCTGACAACTGACGACTCTGCTGTCCCTCGCAGCCAGCCACGGGGAAGACACTGCCCTTGAGGCACCGGTGGCCCTCTCGAGGGACCACCCAAGCCTCATCAACTGGCAGAAGCCGGGCAGCAGGCAGAATTCCAGCAGCTGTGGGGGTGGATGCAGGATGCCCGAGTAGCCGCGACCTGGGCAGCTGAGGCCAAACCATCTGGGGAGGTGGGCACAAGGCAGAACCTTCTCGGGAGGGAGAGGACTTCCCTAAGTTAGGGTGACCCAGTGAGGGCCCAACTAGACTTGAGAAGGCAGCCCGCTGGAGAGGATCCGGAAGAAGGGGCCACAGACCGGGAGGCTGTGGAAGCTGAGGTGGCAGATGCGGGGCTCGGGGGCAATGTGTGAAGGGCCACCCGGCCCTCCCCTCCCCCACGTGGCCACACAAGTCGCTGGCGCCCAGAGGAGGTTGATGTCGACTCCTCATCCTGCTCCCACCCGCTGCCCCCGTAGGAACCCAGAGTGAGCGGGGGTCCCCAGGAGGATCACAGGGGTTGGGTGTCCAACTGGGGCAGCTCAGGGGGCTGATCAGGAGCCTTCTTTTCTGAAGGGTCTACGTCCTTCTGGTCACCAGCTGGAGCTGGGACAGGTGCATCGTCTGCAAACGGAGGGAGGAAATGGTAGCACTAGGCATCCCAGCTTCTTCCTCCCTTGGATCCAGGAGTCGGCTGCCAGCACCCGCCACTCCCCCCCAACCCGGGGTGCCCAGGGGCCCAAAGCACCTGCGTCTGCGTGGAACTGCAGCTGTCCCTCGGGACCAGGGGCTGGGCTGTTCTGGCCTTGCTGCTGCTGTTTCCTTTGTTCCATCTGCAGAACGGCCTGCGACGGGCGGGGGAGATTGGACAGGCAAGAGGGGATGCCGCCAAGTCTCCAGGGCAACTTGCGATGCCGCCCTGAACCCGTCCCTTCCCCATGGGCCTCACTTGCTGGGTCTAACCTCCTCCTCTGTCCTTGGCCTTACCCCCTCCCACTTTCCTGCTTAGAGCCCCACTGCCCTTATCCAACATGGCAGCCACAGAGCAGCCAGGGACGCGCACATCTGCCCTTACTCAAGATGGCGGTCACCACCTGAGGCTCTACCAGTGATGAACACAGTGGCCACAGGCCTTCCCAGCCTCTGAACACCCAAGGAAAAAGGCCACCAGGGACTCAGAGGATGGGCCCAGCCTCCCCGGCCAGTCACCTGCTGCAGCTCTCTCTTCTGGGCCTCCAGGCGGCCCTGAGAGCGCCCCAGGGCCTCAGTCTCCTGGCTGAGGCGCTGCGCCTTGGCATTCAGCTCTGCCTCCCGGGCGGCCAGTTCCTCCTCAAAACGCCTTAGTTCATCCTCCGTGTAGGCAGGGTGCATCTCCACTGTCTGTGAGGCGGGGACAGGGGCCCTCAGCAGGGTGACGTCAGCCTTGGCCCACCCGCCTTGGAGAGGGCTCCGCCAACAGAGGAGGTCTGGGGAAGGCTGGGAGGCCTGGGTCATGTGTGAGGATAGAAGCGATCTGAGAGGAAGCTGAGGAGGGTGATAAAGACCCAGAGAAAGGGGGGAACAGAGACCCAGAGGGAGATGGAGACAGAACCCAGAGGCAGAAGGAGGCAGAGACCCAGGGTAGGAGGGGCAGAGACCCAGAGAGTAAGAGACGTGGCCAGAGACTCTGAAAGAAGGGTTGGGGCTGGGGGAGAGAGGTATTCAGGACTCAAAGAATCCTCCATGGCCTCACCTCCCAGCCCTCCCCGGTGTCCCCAAATTCCTTCCTCTGGGTGGATGTGAGGAACTCCTCCAGGGTCACGAGGCGGTCCTGGTTGGTATCCACCTGGGGAGCCAGGGTAAGCGACAGAGCTGGGCCTCACTCCACCCCTGCCCCAACCCTCCCCATGACCCCAGTCCCCTCTTCTCACATTCTTCATCACGTGCTCCCTCATGCGAAGCCGCTCCTCCTCCATCTCCCGCATATCATCTTCTTCATTCTTTGGGTCATACACCTTCTCCAGCTGAAGCAGGGTCAAGCGAGAGGCAGGAGATATTGAGGGGTCCAGGGCAACCTCTCTCCTAGGCTACTCCGCCTCTTTACACACACAAGCAGGCAACTTAAAACTCCCAGAAGTCCCTGGGGGCTACCCTGCCACTCCTGGTAGCCTCTTTTTGTCCCAGGGGCCGCTGGGAGTTGTAGTTTCCCCTGAGTTCCCATCCAGGGGGACCTGAGGGGACACATGGTGGATGTAAGCATCCTCTGCCCCCACGGCTTCCAAGATGCTCGCTCACCTCCTTGGTGAAGAGGGCCTCCAGCTCCTGTTCATCCAGGACCCCATCACTGTTGATATCTGAGGGGGAAACAACAAGGTATCTTGGGGGGGACTGAATGTGGGGTGGGTCAGGTCCCTGAGGAACCTGCTAGAGAAGGAATTGGGGGCTGATGTGGGCTCTGTTATGAGAGGGCAGGAATCCCTGGGTCCCCAACAATATAATGATATCCTTCAGGCTTCAGTGCCCCATTGGCCCATTGCTAGGACAGCCCGATCCCTACCAACTGGGGTCCCAAGAAGGAAGTAAATGAAGGTGGGCTTCATCAGGACCATCCTTGGGATGGTTGTCACACAGGACAACTTGATCTCTAACACCTGGTGATCTGGGCACAGGATCAACCCCTCTGCCCAGGAGCCGGGGGTGTCAGAGGCCTCCGACTCCCAGAGAGCCCCAGGCCAGAGGAACCCCTCTACGGGCCACCCAGCTTGTATGGCTCCGAGGCTCCAGGCTTCTCGGCCGCATGGGCCACACTCACTGTCCCCTCCTCTTCTGCTCACTCAGATCAGGACCCACACTGGTCCTTCAGAGATGGCCAGGAACCTTGACCTTGCAAATCCAATGGTTATTTTTTTTTAAGATTTTATTTTTAAGCAATCTCTACACCGAATGTGGGCCTCAAACTCACAATCCCGAGATCAAGAGTCACATGCTCCACTGACCAAGCCACCCAGGTGCCCAGCCAGTGGTTAATTTTTTTAACCTGCGTTTTACTTGACTTTCTGCCTTCGGCTTCCAGAACATCCTTCGCTCCTCCCAGATACCCCTCATTCTCCTTCGTTGGCTCCGTCCTCCTGCATGCTACCTATTGATGGGCCCCGGGGCTCAGGCCATCTAATCCTCAAATCCAACATGGTAGCTGCTAGCCACACAGGCCATTTAAATTTAAATCGATTAAGATAAAAATCCCAGTTTCTCAGTCCCACTTGTTACAGGTCAAGCATTCAGTAGCCACACGTAGCTGGTGGCGGCCATGTTGGGTGGCACAGAACATTTTCATCATTACAAAAAGAGCGTGACTGGCCGGCACCTCTTCAAATGGGTCCCTTCAGTCCCTCAGCTTTCAATGCCATCCACAAGCTGCCTCCACACCTGAATATCCAACTGCCAACTCTCCTTGCCATGAAGTGCCTAACAGACATCTCCAATTTAACACGAATGGACCTAGTTCCCAATCTTCCCTGCCAAATATGGTTGCTTGGGCCAAATATCTTGGAGTCACCCTCAACCCTTATGTTCATTCATAATCCTCATCCAGTCCACCTGCGAGTCCTACTAGCTAGACCTTCAAGATAAATCCAGAATCCAACCACTCTTCCCTATTTCCCATGGCACAGCCACCAGCATCTCTGGCCTCCTCATGGCTTTGGCCCTCACACCGGACAGCCTATCCTCCGCATGGCAGCCAGCTGGATTTGGTCAGCCCTTAAGGCTGATGGTGTCAGTCCTCTGCCCAAGACCCTTTTGTGGTGCCCCATCCCAGAGAGAATAGAATCCAAATTCCTTAACCCGGCTGGAAGGTTCTGAGCAATCTGGCTCCCGTTACCTTGGAAACCCGCCTTCACTCTTCCCCTCTGCGTGTTCGCTGTTCCCTCCGCCTAGAGCGCACATCCCCCAAATATCTGCAAGGCTCAACCTCTCACCTCAGTGGAGTCTAAGTTCAAATGTCACCTCTCTAGAGCTGCACTGTCCAGTGGAGCCACCAGTCACATGGGGCACATGACATTTAAATTAATAACAGCCAAGGACCACGAAAACTTGGGTTCCTCGACATTACGCTAAATGAAATAAGCCAGTCACAAACAAGACAAATACTGTATGATTCCATTCATGTGAAGTAGCTAGAATGATCCAATTCATCGAGACAGCACCCAGAATGGAGGTGGCTAGGGGCTAGGGGGAGGAGGAGCGGGGAGTTATTGATTAACAGAAGAGTTTTCGTTTCAAAAGGATGAAAAGAATTCTGGAGGTTGGTTGCAAAACAGTGTGGGTGTCCTTAACATTCCTCAACTGTACACTTAAAAAGGGCTGAAGATAGGACAGTTCACGTTAAGTGTATTTTACCACAGTTACAAATTTTTAAAAAACTCACGTCTCAAAACTAAAAAAGAATTCAGTTCCTCGGTACGTTTCAAGAGCTCAATAGCCACATGGGGCTGGTGGGTATGACACACTCTAGGCCCGTAAGCCTGCTATTGGCTTTCCCATGTTACTTTTCTGTTATCACTGCCCCAGACGCTATTATAGAATCCACTTCCTTGACTGTAAGATGTAACCCCTCCCCTGCGATTTGATTATCCCTGAGATCAAAAGACATCTGGTCATCGGTGGTGTGTTAATTTAATGGGCAGCTTGTGTAAAAATTCTAGAATATCTTACACTACCCGGTTTTTTAGATCCACTGAAATACAGAGTTACTGGTTTGCCTGATCACTGGCTACGTGAGAGGAGGGAACTTTGTTTTGTTCACAGCGGGATCCAGGGTTGCCATGACGCTTGGTCTTAGAGGGGGCTTAGTAGATGTTTGCTGAATGAATGGACCAGGCCCCGTTAAGGTCCGTTGACTGCTTGCAGCTTCTGGGGCAGGGTCCTAGGCACATCTGAGGGGGCCTGGCAACCCTGGGTTAAGCTTCTAGAGAGGAGGAGAATAAAGGAGATGTCTGAAACACCATGGGAAAGGTAGCTTCTCAGTCCCTGGAGGCCTGTTTATTTGGAAGCAGCCCACCGTTGGCAACAGGACTCCTGGGCTGCTATGGGCGGGGGTGCCCAGCCTAGTCAAGCCTGGGTGGCTCAGTCAGTGGGTATCCGCCAGTCCCGAGAACCAAAAAATCTGGTGTATCCCAGAAAAGTGGCCTAGTTCTTCGATGGAAGACCCTAGCAATGGGGAAGTGTGTAGCCTTCCAGACCAACAGGAGGGACAGGCTCAGTTCTCTTTGGCCTGCTAAGCCCCACTGTGATGGAGACACCTCTTCCTAGTATTCAGGCCCCAGAAAGGTCAGAGCCTCCGGGTTCAGCCTGGGTCTGGGGGCTCCTCCCCACCTTACCATGCAGTATGAAGAAGGTCTTGGGGTTAAACCTGTTGGGGTCCAATCCATCCAGCTCCTCCCACACCTCCTTCAACTGGGCTTGGCTGCCCTGTGGAGGGGAGAGCCAGGGGCTCATGAGCAAGAAGTCTGAGTCCCCCCTTCCCTCAAATGTCATTTCCCTCAAGCAAGAAAAACTATAACTCCCAGCAGCCCCTGGCGTGCCTGAGCATATCTAAAGGGACTTCTGGCCTCAGGGTCTGCTGGGAATTGTATTCTTTAGCTACTTTCTCATCTTGTGGCGCTTGGAGAGTTGGACACCAGCGGGGGGTAGCCTCATTGTGGGGGGGCTTCTTACAGGTACATTGACTTTGGGGTGCTCTCGGTGCCGGCGCTGTTGTTCTTCCAGCTTCCTCTCTGCCTCCTTTCGCTGCTCCTCTCCCAGTGACTCCAGGTAACGGCGTCTCTCATGTTCCTTGAGCATCTCGTAGCGTTTGAACTCTTCATGATGGGCCGCGTCATACTGGGCAAGGTCCCGGGTGGCCTGGGGAAAGGCAGACAGTCCTTCTCGTCTCACCGCCACATCCAGGCCCTAATTTCAACCTCCAAATTACAGGTCCTCCGCCTTGAACACGGTCAAGGGCCACCCCCACCTCTACCCAGTCCTGGCTTCCATGTCCTGAGCTCACTTCTTGATCTCTATGACCCACTCTTGCCCCATGACACAGCCTCCTCTGTCTATTTGTTCAAAAGAGATTAGAATGGTTACACAGTAACAACTTTTTTAAAAGTTTATTTATTTAAGTAACTTCTACACCCAACATGGGGCTCGAACTCATGACCCTCTGAGATCAAGGGCCCCAGGGTCTTCTGACTGAGTCAGCCAAGCACCCCTACACAGTAAGAACATTAACCCAGCTCTTTCAAAAGTCCTCCACAATCTCAAGATCTTGGAGGAATAGGGGCGCCTGGCTAAGCTCAGTGGGTGGAGCATGCGACTCTTGATCTCAGGGTTGTGAGTTCGAGCCGTGAGGCTTGGGTATAGAGATTACTTAAAAATAAAATAAAGTAAAGATCTTGGAGAAATAAGCGATAAGGAACAACACGCAAGGTGGACTTAATAGGGAAAGCAGTACAGCTCGGTGATAAAGAAGGCTAGGTCTCTGATTACTTTGCCCAGGGTTCAAATCCAGGCTCTGCTGTGTGAACAAATCCCACTAGGGCTGTGTGACAACACCGTGGAGGCAGAGGCTGGAGTGATGGGTCTACAAGTTGCTGAATGCTGGCAGCCTCCAGAGGCCGGAAGAGGCAAGAAGTGGGTTTTTTTCCTAAAGCTTCTGAAGAGAGTACAGCTCTGCCAAAGCCTTGGTTTTGGCTCAGGGATACTGATTTTGGACTTCTGGCCTCCAGAACCGTGAGAGAATACATTTCTGTTTTTATTTTTATTTTATTTTTATGATTTTTAGTTTTATTTTATTATGTTAGTCATCATACATTATTTTTATTTTTTTTTAATTTTAAAATATTTTTACTTTTTAAGTAACCTCTCCACCCAACATGGGGCTCGAACGCACAACCCCGAGATCAAGAGTCACGCATTCTACTGACTGAGCCCGCCAGGCGCCCCACGTTTCTGTTGTGTTAAGTCACTGAGTCCGTAGTAAGTTGCTGCAGCCATGGCAAACTACCACCCCCAGTGAGACCCTTCTTGGCTTCTGGTCTACACCGTACAGTAATTTCAAGGTGTTTTAAGCCACTAAGTTTGTGGTAATTTGTTACAGGGCAGCATAGGAAACAAACACAGCTGTTGTGTGGGGAACGGATTCTCAACCCAGGGTGACTGGTCCGCAGGAGACCATTGTCAAAGTGTGAGGACATTTTTGGTTGTCACAACGAGGGTAGGTCTACAGGCATGGAGTCGGTAAAGAGCAGGGATGCGGCTAAACGTCATACAACGCACAGACATCCCCCACAACAAAGAATTATCCAGCCCCAAACGTCAAGAGTGCTGAGTTGAGAAGTCCTGCCGGCGAGCTTAGAAGGCAGAAGCAGGGAGCCCAGTGAGGAAGCGGCTATGAGAGACGATGGGAGTTGAAACCAGGAGAAGGACAGTGGGGCTGGAGAAAAGTGGACAGTTTCTGGAATGTTCTGGAAATGAGTGGCAAAACCACCCCTCAGGGACTGAGCCCAATGCCAGGAATAGACGCGATTGTCTGCTATTATCTTCGTGGCCACTAGATGGCGCTCCAGTAGGGCAGAAGAGCAGGGCTCAGGCCAGGCGGCTGGGCTTTGTCCAGGAGGTGCTGGGGACCCCTGGAAGGAAGGTGAGCGGGGAGAGGCAGGGGCAGGTCTGGGGGGGATCCCCTTGCACTCCCCAGCCCCACCGCTCTTGGCGTTCCCCATGAGGCTGGGCTGGAGGTCCCACTTCTCAGAGAAGGACTCTAATTAGCTCCTATGGCTGCTATAACAAATGATCATACATTTGGTGGCTTAAAACAACACACATTCAGGGGCGCCTGGGTGGCTCAGTCTGTCAGGCACATGACTCTTGATTTCAAGGTTGTGAGTTCAAGCCCCACATTGGGTGTGGAGCCTACTTAGAAAAAAAAGAAAGAAAGAAAGAAGGAAAAGAAAAAATAATACACATTTATCATCTTACAGTATGGAGGCCAGAGATGTGAAATTAGTTTCACGGAGCTCAAATTACAGTGGAGGCCAAGCTATGCTCCCTCTACAGACTCGGGGACAACCCTTTTCTTTGCCTCTTCTGGGTTCTAGAGCTGCCTTCCACGCTGGTGGCTCCTTTCTCCATCTGCGAAGCCAGCAACGGAGCACCTTGCTTCACACTGCCGCCTCCTAAGGTAGTCACACGTCCCGCCGTGAGGACATGGAGGGCCCACCGGATAACCCAGGGTAATCTCAGCAGCTCAGGACCCTCAACTTAATCACATCTGCAAAATCTCTGTCACCGTGTGAGGTCATGTGTCACAGGTTCTGCTGATTAGGATGTGTGGGGTGTGACATCTTGGGGGGGGCATGATCCTGCCTCCCACGAGGACAGAGAGGGGACAGCGCCTCCTCCCCTGCCCCGTCCCCACCCAAGTCATATGGGAAGGACAAAGCCGAGGACGGATTTGAAACCAGGTCTGAAGGGAGCCCAGCCCGTGCTGCCTACACCTCCACTCTCCCAGAGAGAATCTGGGGAGGGCTTCTGGGCACCGCCTGGGCCTCTGCAGCCACTGACCTCAGAGAACACCAGGATGATCGGGTGCATGTCCTGGGCTCCGTTCCCTTCTCCCCTTCCATAAAGCCTCCTTCAGTCCACTGCCTGTAGCCCCCCTCCCCTCGCCCCTCGCTACCGTCTGGATCAGCAGCTCCAGGTCCCGGGCCTCAAAGGTGTGCTGATTCTGAGGGTCCAGGTGTTCAAACTGCTTCAGGAGGCTCAGGTGATCCAACTGTACATCTGGATGAGGGACAAGTATTAAAACAAAAACAAAAACAAACAAACAATCAAAAAAACTCACGGAATGTTCTTTCTTTCAAAATCCCTATCCTGGGCTAGATGTGCTCTAAAGGAGGTCCCAGGGGGCACTGGGAAAGCCTACAGGATGGCCTGAATGAGCCTGGGGCAATCTGGGAGGGCTTTCTGGAGGAGGTGATGCCACAACTCACTCTGATGCTTAAAACAACAATAACCATAATAATTATTAACATGTATTGAGCACTTACTATATGCCAGGCTCTGCTTTAAACACATTAAATATATTAATGTATTTTTTAAAAGATTTTATTTATTTATTTGACAGAGAGACACAGCCTGAGAGGGAACACAAGCAGGGGAGAGGGAGAAGCAGGCTTCCCGTGGAACAGGGAGCCCGATGCGGGGCTCCATCCCAGGACCCCAGGATCATGACCCGAGCTGGAGGCAGATGCTTAACCGACTGAGCCACGCAAGCATCCCTAATGCATTTATTTTTCACAAAAATCTTTCGACATAGGTTCTATGGTAATCCCATTTTACGGATGTGAAAACTGAGGCCCAGAGAGGGTAAGGGACTTGTCTAGGTCACCACTATCTAGGAATTGGCAGAGGGAGTATTAGAACTGGTCGTTGGGCTCCGGAGCACATAAACTCAAGCCCTGTTAGGGGTTGAATTACGTGCCCTAAAATCCATCTGTTGGGAGTCCTAACCCCTAGCACCTCAGAATGTGACCTAATCGGCAGAGAGGGTCTTCCCAGAAGTGATCAAGTTAAAATGAGGTCACAGGATGGACCCAAATCCAATAGGACTGGTTTCCTTCTAAAAGGGAAAAAAATTTGGACACCCCAGGAGAAGACAAGAGGTGGAAGCTGGCCCTCTCCAAGCCCAAGAGAGAGACCCAGAGCCGATCCCCATCAGAAGGAACTGATGTTGCCACAACTTGATCTTGGACTTCCGTCCTCCAGGGCTGTGAGACCATAAATCTTTGTTGCTAAAACCAGCCCGTCTATGGTACTTTGTTAGCAAAGTCATGCAACCTCCCTGTATGAGACTGTCATCAAACAGGCCCCTGCTCGGGCGGCACTCTCCGTGCCCGGGAGTTCCCAAGCAGTAAGGAAGGGGTAGGGTTATCAGGAAGGAAGGGAGAAAGCACACCCTCAACAGCCAGGCATCCACTGAGCGCACATCTCCCAAGGCCTCCTGCCCCCGCCACCATGTGACTCAGACCCAGGCCAGCCCTCCAGTGGCTCCTGGGGAGGGGGAGACACACACACACACACACACACACACACACACACACACACACACGGAGGCTGGGATCCCGGGCCATGGAGGCAGCTCTGGCCAGGCTGAGCCCAGAGGAGGGACAGGCACTCAGGACACAGACAAAGATCAAATTTCATGGTGCATTATTTAGGCCTCAGGCACGTGCTGAGCCCCTTACCCTGGGCCAGACTCGGTGCCCGGCGCTGGGGACGCAACGGAACCCAGACAGCCTCAGCATCTGCTCCCCAGCACCCAGCAGAGGACAGAGGACGAACACACACGACCCCAAGGACTGAAACGAACGGAGCCCCCTTCGTGCAGCCCAGTCCGGATGGGAGCTGAGACAGAAGCCCAGCCAGCCACCGAGAATGTCCCAGGCAGAGGGAAGCGCCTGGGCCAAGGTCCAGAGGTGACAGAGACGTGTTGCACACCAGCATTACTAAAACTGCTGACAGGAGAGGGTGGGGAGAGGGCGCCTGTGAAGGGAGGGGCTGGGCGGGCAGAGCAGCAGTGAGGACTGTGGACTTTGGGCCTGTTGAGCACTGGGGAGCCACGGTGGGTTCTAAGCAGAGGAGGGACAGGCCATGGACTGGGTGCTGTGGTGGGCTGCGTCACGGCCCCCGAGATGCCCACGCCCTGAACCCTGGAACCTGTGACTAGGAGACCTCAGGTGGCAAAAGGGACTTTTACAGATGTGATTAAATTAAGAATCTTGAGATGGGAAGTTGATCCCGGATTACCCAGGAGATCCAACCTAATCACAAGGGTTCCTCTAAGAGGGAGGCAAGGGCACCTTGTGGCTCAGTGGGTTAAGCCTCCGACTCTTGATTTCGGCTCAGGTCATGGTCTCAGGGTCGTGAGATCGAGCCCAGCATTGGGGTCCACGCTCAGCACAGAGTCGGCCTCCTCTCTTCCTCTGCCCCTCCCGCCATTCATGCTCTTAAGCACGCATGCGTGCTCTCTCTCAAATAAATAAATCTTAAAAAAAAAGAGGGAGGCAGAGGGAGATCCAACTATAGTAGAAGGCCACGTGACCCCTGAACACAGAGGCTACATGCTAGCTTTGAGGATGGAGGAAGAGGCCACCTGCCAAGGAATGCCACTCTAGCAGCCAGAAAAGACAAGGCAACAGGCTGTCCCCTAGAGCCTCTGGAAGGAACACAGCCCCACGGACACTCTGATTTTCGCCCGGAGAAACTGGTTTCAGATTCTCATCTCCCAACTGTAAGGGAATCAGTGTGTGCTATTGGGGTTTTTTTGGTTTTGTTTTTTAAAGATTTTATTTATTTGACAGAGAGAGACACAGCAAGAGAGGGAACACAAGCAGGGGGAGCAGGAGAGGGAGAAGCAGGCTTCCCCCGGAGCAGGGAGCCCGATGTGAGGCTCGATCCCAGGACCCTGGGACCATGACCTGAGCCGAAGGCAGACGCTTAACGACTGAGCGACCCAGGCGCCCCAGTGTGTGCTGTTTTAAGCCACTGAATTTCGGGTAATTTGCTACAGTGGCCATAGGAAACAGCTACAGGATCCCCCTGGCTGCTGATGGGGGGGAAGGCGTGGGGAAGAGCACCCAAAGGAGGGGTGGCAGCAGGGAGCCTGGGGAGGAGGCCAGGGAGGAGGCAGTGATCCAGCAGGACCCAAGCGGCAGCAATGGATGTGCGACGTGGCCAGACTCTGAAGCTATAATAGTTAAAGCAGCAGGACAGGCGTGGGTGCGTACTCAGGCTGTCTGGCCACCGTGGAGCTCCAGCACCCGCCTGGTGCCCGGCACACAGTTGGACTTGAGACATGGTTGGTCAATGGATCAGTGGAGTCAGGTAGAAATGAAAAGAGGGGCGTCTGACTTCGGCTCAGGTCGTGGTCTCAGGGTCCTGGTATCGAGCCCCGCATCGGGCTCCCAGCTCTTCATGGAGTCTGCTTCTCTCTCTCTCTTTCTCTCCCTCTGCCCCTCCCCACAGCTCATTCTCTCTTTCTCTCAAATAAATAAAATCTTAAAAACATTTTCTTAAGATAAAAAATATATATTAGCACTAAGGGTGCAAACAACCCAGATATCCATCAACTGATGAATAGATAAACCCATCCTGGTCTATCCGTACATTGGCCCTAAAAAGGAATGAAGTTGCCGACAAACCCTATCTAGGAATGTCAGAAGTAGGGTGGGATCTTGGAATCTAAACCTGCCTCTCTCTTCCAGGTACATTTTTTTCCTTTTTCCAGCCAAATAATTAGACTTATAAAATATAGTCTCAAGTATAAATGTCAGCAAATCAGAATCATCCCAGCGGGGCAGACAGAGAATAACAAAGCAAGGAAAAATACCGAGTACCCTTTGCAGTTTCCTGACTTTGATCACCGCATGGTAGTTAGGCAGGAGAACGCCCTGCTTCTGAGGAACCTCACTGAATTGGTGAAAAGAGATACAGTCTACAAGGAACTCGGAAATGGCGAACTGGCTCATCTGGGTGAAGCGTATTCAGGAGCTTTTTGTACTATTCTTGCAACTTTCCTGGAAGTTTGAAGTTGCAGCAACATTTTAAATGACCGTGGTTTTTAAAAATAAAAATTAAAAAAAAAAAAAAACGAAAACAAAACGGAGAAACAAAAAACAGCCTACCAACCACAGTCATGGGAGCGGTAGATTGTTCTAGAAAGAAAACTCGATCAATCTTCTATGCACATCTTATGGTGGGGGTAGTGAGTCCCCAGGAGGGAGGCCATCCCACCCCACCAGCTCCACCCACCCCTGCTTACTGGGCTCCTGTTCTGCATCCATCTTGGCCTTGAGCAGCATCCGCAGCCGGGACACCTCCTGCCGCTTGAGCTCGTCCAGCTTGGTGCGGACATGGTGGCTGACAAAGTCCAGCTCCCGGCTCAGCTTTCCACTCTGCCCGAATGGAGAGGGGACGCTGGTCAGGCTGGGGGGCCTGGGAGGGGGCGCACGGGGCAGCCTCGACCTTTCTCTGCCCTCTCTGGAACCTTCTACCGGCTTTGTGAAGCCTGGAAAGCTTACAGACCCTTGCCCCACCCGCTCCTCCAGCCTCTGAGACAAGGTCCAGCCCTTCAGCCCAGCGTTTGAGGCCCTGCCCACCTCGGCAGCCCCGTGCCCTGCCATCCACCAAATCACACTCGGTTCCAGCAACACCAACTGGGTATCGGCCCCCACACTCAAGGCTCCTTCCCTCCTCCTGGTCTTTGCACATGCTGGTTAGTCCCTCTGCCTAGGAGTCTCTCCCGCCACCCCTTTCCAAGCCTAAGCAGATCCTCATGGCCCTTCGACACTCAAAGCCCACAGCATCTCCCTTGGAAAGAACCTCCCAGCAACTCCCTGCTCCCCTCCCCGGGGTGCCTTCTGTGAGCTGCCCCTCCTGTCACTTCAGATTCTGTCTGTTCAGAGCTGACCCCACCCCTCTCCTGCTCACAGCCCCCATGGCTCCCCAGGGCCCCCAGGACAAAATCCCTTCGCCCAGCACTCAAGACCCCATATGCACCCACCTCTCCAGCCCCATCGCCCATCTTTGTGTCAGTGATCAGGAACCCCAGGCAGACAGCAGAAGGTACCAGAATGCTTTGTTTGTACACACAGTTCTCGCTGTCTGAAATGCCATGCCTTTACCCACCCCACCCCACCCCACTGCAACAACTTCTACACCACGGACATCCCCACTCAGACTTCCAACCTCACTTGGGTAAGGGGCATCCTTGCTCTAGAAGTCCTCTCTCACTTGTCACACTGGACTGTGTCCTCCTGGGGCCTCCCCCAGGGCCCTCTGCTATCTGTCACTGCTCCGGCTGCTTTTTCGGTCACTTGAGACTCACATCGGGGTTCCCCAGCCCGCAGGGCCCGTGGCCCTTGATAGGCAACGGGACATGGTGACCAGAGTGACAGTCCTATTCACCCCAACCAGTCAAGCATCTACTCTGGGCCAAGCCCTGCGCTGGACTCCCCGGGTCTGTCCTCTAATCCTGCCCACAGCCCCATTTTACAGATGGATAGACTGAGGCCCAGCAGGAGCAGCCACTTGCCCGAGGTCCCTCGGACAGTGAGGACACCAGGTTGGTGTCGTGTCTCCCCACATCCTTTTCCTGCTCGGGACCTCAGAACTGGAGCGGACCTTACTGCCCCCTGCCCCAAGGATGACGACTAACATCCACCGCAGCCTTATGCTGTGCCCGAGGGAGCACTTGAAGTGGGATTTTTGCCCACCCACACAACCACGTCTCACGTCATAGAAAATGTTGCATCAGGCCTCCTGGTTTCTGAGAAAGACACCGAGGCCCAGAGGGTGCGGCCACTCAGCCCAGAGCGCGTGAGGAGGAACTGGGATTGTACCCAGGCACCGTCCCACTCCACGCCCTGCCTGCCGAACTGGCCACCCTGCTTCCAAGGTCACTGCCCAGTGGTATGACCTTGGACCTTGGTGGAGGTGGAGAGGGCTGCCCCTCAGGTTTTCCCAGCTGGGCAGCAGGAGGGGCTGGGCTCTGTGGTCTCGGGTTCTGCCGGTCCTTCCCTGGGGGCCGGTGGGTAGGGACAGATGACAGCCCCAGGAATGCTGGGAGGTTTGCAGGGTCACCTGGGCCCTCTCCTGGACCGAGGCGTTTAAAGACTCAAGGAGGCTCCTCCACATGGGGCATTCCCACACACCCCTGTACAGGGAAGGGGGGTCTGTGTGCGGTGGGATGGGGAGGAGGAAGGCGGGCCAGCCGGCCCTGTTTCCTCATGGCGGGGCAGCCCGCATCAGCCAGCCCTGCGGGGAAACTGGGCCCATAGGAAGGACAAACCCTGCCACGAGGGTCTCCACGTCTGCCTTTATAAAATGAGGACAATCTCGGCCCCTCTGGAGGCCTCCCGTGAGCTAGAGGGGAGGGGAGCCGGAACCGCACCTCCTGTGTCTTGAATTCTTCCCTGAGCAGAGCACACTACGCCGAGGACTCAGTTGAACCACACGCACCCGGCAGGTACAAGGACCGCTAGCCTGCACATCTCAGCCCTTGATGCGTCTTACCTCGGGTGAATCCTAACCTGAACCCTGTAATGCGGATTCTGCTACTGCGCCCGCTTTGCAGATGGGGAAACAGGCACGGCGAGGGGCGGCCACACAGCATCGAAGGGTAAAGCGGACAGCGGGAGCCTGTGCCAACTGCAGCCAGGCTTAACCGCACACTCTGTGCTCCTCACATCCCTTCCCGGCCGTGTGGCACTGAGAAGTGCCTCCCGTGCCTCCGTATGGCGAGCCCTGGAGCAACGTGGACTGTTTAGGGAAGCCGGTCCTTTACCTGAACTCTGTCCTCCGATCGCGCGCCCCTCCTCCCCTCCCACCTGGCTCGCGCCCAGCCGCACCTTGATGTCCTCAGCGTTGGCAGCCTGCAGCTTCTCGCGGAAATGCCCATCGGTCTCCAGCACGTTGATGACTTCCTGGAGGTACCGGTGGTAGTACAGGCCTGTGTCCTGAGGGGTCAGGGATGAACGTAGCAGCCCAGCCCCTACCCCCCTCTGGTTTCTCCCTGCACGTAGGACCCAGGCCCCGCTCCCCGGGCACCGGCTGCAGGACCCCGAGACCCCCTGCTTGCACCAAGAGGCAGGCCTACCCCATGGGATGAAGGCTCTAGAGCCAGGTGACCCCAGTTCTGATCCCCATCTGCTCTGTAACCCCAGGCAAGCCGCCTGATCTTCTGGGCCCCAGCACTCATCTCTTCCCAGGCCGTTAGTGGAGATGAAGTAAACATCACACGGGGAGACAGACACCCAGCCCAACGCTGTGCACAGAGTGGGTGCTCAGGGTGGACGCATGAGTGTTTGTTGGCAAGCAGCGAAACATACACTCATTTGTCTTTCATCAAGCAATCACCGAGCTCCTACCGCATGCCAGGCGCTATGCTAGGGGACCCAGCAAGTGAACAAGACAGACAAAAATCCCTAGGCTCCTGGACCCAGACCTGCCATGTGTAGGTGGGTGGTACTCTCTTCTTCCTGGGCCTCCCTCTTCCATTTGAAAATAGGCAATAAATTCCCTACGTCTCAGCGCCGTGGTGAAAAGTACATGAGATAAAGGATCTGGCATGATGCTAAGGACATAGGAGACGTTCGATCTATTAATGCTATCATTCTGTATGTAGGGAGCACACAGTAGGTGCTTGATAGCCAGGTGCTGATGGCTCGGCCATGCCATTGTGGGTATACCAATTTCCTGTTGCTTCTGGAACAGAGTGTCACAGATTAAATGGCTTAGAGCAACACAAATGTATTCTCTTAGAGTTCTGGAGGTCAGAAGCCCAGAACAGGTAGACAGGGCCGAACTTATTCTGGAAGCTCTAGGGGAGAATCTGTTTCCTTGCCTTTTCCAGCAGCTGGAGGCTGCCTGCATTCCTTGGCACATGATCCTGCATCACTGTGACCTCTGCTTACATCATCACATCACCTCTGACTTTGACCTTCCTGCCTCCCTCTTATAGAGAACACTTGTGATTACGTTGGACCCACCTGGATAATACGGGATAACTTTTCCATCTCAAGAGCTTTGTCTCAATCACACCTGCCAACACTCTTTTGCCCTATAAGGTAAGAGAGTCGCAGGTTCTGGAAACTAAGGTGTTGACATCTTTTTTTTTTTAAGTTTATTTTTTTAGTAACCTCTACACCCAGTGTGGGGCTCGGATTCAGAACCCCGAGATCAAGAGTCTCATGCCCTACCGACTGAGGCAGCCAGGAGCCCCAAGGTGTGGACATTTTGATTGTTTAGCCAATGGGCTGGAATCCCAAATCTGCCAATTACTAGCTAGGGGACCTTGTTGGGACAGCTAGAATGCCTAGTTCAATTTAAATTTCAGATAAACAATGAATAACTTATAGTATAAATATACTGCTGGAGTGTACTTATACTCAAAATTATTCATGCTTATGTGAAATTCAGTTTTAACTGTCTTGTGTTTTTATTTGCTAAACCTGGAAACCTCAGTCCTTGGGCAAGTTACTTAAACTCTCTTGTGCCTCTGCTTCCTCATCTATAAAGTAAGGTTGAAGAGCACCCATTGAGGCCCCACACGACCTGCCTCCCACCACCCCCCTTCCAGTCACATTGGCCACCTCCATGTCTCTCTACTCACTCTGCTTTCCACACCACAGGCTGCCCCTGCGTGGAATGTTCTTCCTTGCACTTCAGATTTCAGCTCGTGACCCTTCCTCCCTGACCATCACTCTGGTGCCCATTCTCAAGAAATGTGTGAGATGAATGAAGGGAAAGGGGACTCGGAAGTGCCCTTCTGTGTTTGCAAAGATTTCACCAAGCAGAGGCCTAACTCACAAGATCGGGACCGCTATACGGGAGCATGGAATGATCCCTTCCAGAGACAGTCATGTGCCCATTGCTGATGAAAGCTATAGGATTCAGGCCACGAATCAGGGCCTCGGCCTTGAGGATCTTTAAAGTTCCAAATTCCCTGAGACCAAAGGTTTCATAGCATTTGATAAACACATGTTGGAATTACCTTCATAATTTTCAACTCCCACGAGCTCCATGAAGCCAGAACACCCCAGTTAAGGAACACCACCTGCCCAAGGTGCTACTGGGAAATGTAGTTCTTTTTTTCGGATTCCTTCTTGGGGGAGGGGGTTCTTAAAAGAATACAGATTAAGCTAGGGGGTAATGCAGATTTGTCACTTAAAATCTGACCTGATTTCCCCACACCTCAGAGCCAGGGACTTAGAAATATGCACGCACGCACGCGCACGCACACACCCACACCCACACCCCCCCCACACACACCCGCCCCGAGTTTTTCACCACGTCAAAGCCCCGGGACTGCAAAGAATGGCAGGCAAACTCCGAGCCGCGGCCGTGGGGGAAGTATCCACCCAGGGGCGACGGGGATCCGCGGGGATCGTAGTACCACTTGCAAACACCTGACTGGAAAGCAGGGCAGGCCACTCACGGGGCTCTCGGTCGCGGGGGTCTCCTGTTTGGGCGCCCCCCGCTCCAGGGGCACGGCCAGAACAGCGCGCAGCAGCAGCAGCGGTGACAGCAGGAGGAGGAGGGCTGCGCGGGGCCCAGAGGAAGGCATGGCGGCGTGGCCTGTGGGGGGCAGAGAGGTGGATAATGTCTGTCCCAAGTCGCCTACTCCCCTGGACCCAGGAGTCTGGACCCCCCAGAGCCGCCCGCACCCCCCTTCTAAGAGTGAAGACTCAAAAGCGTCTCGTTTCCCGGGACACAGGATTCCGCACGTCCAGCTCTTCCTTCCTTAGACCCAGGAGTCCTGGCTCCCAGCACCCAGCCTCTTCGCTCAGACTCAGGAATCCAGGATCTCAACCCCTTTTCCCCAGAACCAAAGATCCAGGCCCCCAGCCTCCTCCTTTGCCAGGATCTAGGAGTACTGGTGCCCAGTCCATCCTCCCCGAGACCCAGTTTTCCAGCCCTCTGGTCCCCTTCTCCCGCTCCTCCCCAGGACCCAATCTAGGACACCCCCCCCCACCCAAGCCCCTCACCTTTCCTTCACCGCAGAGGGCGTTTTCCCGGGCTGGGACCTCCGGCGCGTTCGGGTGATTTCCCCCCTAGGCCACGCCCACTTTCCCGCAGAGGACTCGCCCTCCGGGGCCTGATTGGTCCGCGCTGGCTCCAGGCTCCTGGGTCCCTGTCTAGCGGCCCGCCCCTTGCCGGAGTCGCTGGTCTGTTCTCGAAAGCCTCTCCTCCTTTCTCGGAAGCTCTACCGCTAGACGCCGCATTTCCTGCTTTTTAGGCGAAAGGAAAGCGGAGGCTTTCGAAGAGAACTACAGTTCCCTGCAGGCAGGGGGAAAATGAGGCCACTTCCGCGGGCAAAGAGGCCCCTGCCTTCGCCTCCTGGCAGTTGTAGTTTTCCCCATTTATTTTTCCACAAGAAGTGGCAGCAAGTTACAGATCGGTAGCAGTTGACACAGGTCATCTTATACGTTTCTAATATATAATATATTATATATATCTAATATATCTAATAGATAAGCCATATACATCTAATATATAAGCCATATATATATATACATATACACACTATATATATGTGTGATGCCAGCTCTCTTGGGTCCCTTTAAGGAACACCTTGCATGCCCTTCCAGTTCAGAACCCTGGAGCAGGGTTGCCTGGCTGCCATGGAGGCCAAGGGTCATTGCTTTGTTGGAAGTGGAGTGTGGGGGGCCAGGAGGGAGGGGATTAGGGCAGGTCCCAGTGGGAATCCCCCCTCCCTCTGAGCCCTCTTCATTTGCCTGCTTACTTCCCAGAGACCCAGAGATTAGGTGCCCAGCTAAAGAGAGGGTTAGGTATGTTTAGAAATTGGCCAGAGAGGCAAGGTACTGAGGCGTGACTGTGAAAAACCTTTGCAGGCACCAGGAGAGGAGTTGCCAGGAACCCCGGGCAGGTGGGTGCTGGAGATGGGGGGGTCAATGGGGGTCGAGTGTTTGGCGCCCAGAGTCCTAAGTTCCCATGCGTGCATAAAGGAGAGTTAACTATTTGGGGGAGAGGGAACTGGATTCCTGGGCCCCTCAAAGTCATGAAAGCTGGAAACAGGCTGCTGGGTCCCTGACCAAGTAGGTGCTGGAATTCGGGCTGCCTGGGTCCACTGGTCTGTGTCTTGACTCCCCATTCTTGCTTCTCCAGAATGTCTCAGGAGAATGACACATGGAAGAAAGAGAGAGTGGGGAAAGGGGATGCGCAGGGATGAAAAGGGGGGTGCAGGAGGAACTTAAAGTTTGATTATGCCCACCCTCACTCCATTCTGGCTTTATGACCATGTTTGCAGGTTCAGCACCATTAGCCTAGTGGTAAGGAGCGGGGGGCCTGGACTTCTGGGTCCTGAAGGGAGGGAGCTACACATGAGGACTCATGGGTCTGAAAGAGGAGGGGCTGGGGGCCTGGACTCCTGAATCCTGGGACAGTAGGGGCCTGGGATCTCTGACTCCTGGATTCTAGACAGGCCAGTGCTGGGGAAAAAGAGCTTCAGAACAGGTGGAGCAGGCTCAGGTTCTGCTCCTTCTGTGACCTCACAAGTGCTCAGAACCCTAAGTTGGGCAGGAAGAAAGAAGGAAAGGAGGGGCTCTTGGGCAGCGGGGGAGCCCTGCTTGCTGTCACCATGAGCCTGCACCTCTCTCAGGGCGCTGGGGGATGAGCTCGCCGCCATGAGGCTGCAGAAGCTGGAACAGCAGGTACTATGCCAGGGAGTCCTGCCACACACCCCCCCTTCAGTCTTCCAGAGCTTCCAGGAGCACCACCCCCAGGATTTGCTCTGGGACTCCTGTCCCTCGTTGGCTCTCTCCAAGCCTCAAGTCTGCAATTGGGAAATGAGAAAATAGGAATTGGGGATCCTGAGGAAGCAAATCTTGATGATGAGAATGCAAAGTTTCTAAGGCTTCTGGAGGGCAGGACTGCTAGGTCCTGGGAGAGGAGGGGACAGGGTGCCAGGACTCCTGGATCGGAGGAAGGGAGGAGCTGAGGGACTGAGAGCCTGGACTCCCGGACTCCCTCCCATAAACGCCTCCCCCTGCCCCAGGCCCTCCTTCACCCCTGTCTTCCCGTCCGGTTCCTGGCCCCCACACCCCCCTTTTCCTCTCCCGCAGCGGCGGCTCTTTGAGAAGAAGCAGCGGCGGAAGCGCCAAGAGCCCCTCATGGTTCAGGCCAATCCCGACGCTTCCCTGCGGCCCCGGCGACCATGGAGGCGGGAGGAGCGCCTCGCGGGTGACAGCGGTCAGGAAAAGTTCTAGTGTGGGGCAGGCGCCCAAGGAGAGCCCAGCGCAGGGCCCTTGGGGACCCGGGAACGGGACCTGGCAGAGCTCAGGGGCGGAGCAGGGAGAGCGCGGGGGTGGAGCCTGGTCCGACTAGGGGGTGGGGCGCGAGAGAATCCCGTGATTGGGCTTCCTAGAGCTCTGGGGCGGAGCCTGGGGGAGGTTGCCGGGGCGGCCCTGGAAAAGGCAGGGACGCAATTTCGGTAGAGTGAGGGCTGAAATTAACAAAGCCCGGGCCGGGGGGGGGGGGGGGGGGGGCGAGGCCGGGATAATTTAGAGACAGGTCCCCGGAGAGACCGAGAGCCGTGTGTGGGATTGTGTAGGCACAGAGTTCGCAACAGTTTAGCTGCAAGTCTGTGCTTGCTTGAGCCTTAGGATGGACTTTGCGTTCTGAATGGGTCTCCCGGGTTTGGGCGGTCACTCAGGGATGGTGTCTGGGAGTCAGTGAGGGAGCGGATCTTCGCAGAGGACTGGAATTTGTACATCGAGTTAATGGGCTTCGCTGCACCTTCTCCCAGGCCTTGGGAACCCTTTCCTCCAGGAGAACGTGCCAGAGGCACATCTGCGCTCTGGGGCCCACAGTGCCCTGGGCATCGTCAGCTGCGGTGGAGATGGCAGCCCACTGGCATCGCCGACAGAAGGAGGTAATCTCGAGTCCTTGGGCCGCCTATACCCTAGAACTGCACTCCCACCAGAATCCAGGAGTCTGGAACCTTAATCCTTGCTCTCCAAAAACCCAGGAGTCCAGGCCCCCCACGGGCCCTGTCATCCCTCACACCAAGGAGTCCAGATCCTGAAACTACTCCTTCTCCAACACTCAGGAATTTGAATCTCCAGGCCCCTTCCCCGCCTCCCCACCCCCCAAAATCCCGGTCTCTAGTCCCTCTCCCTTATCCTGGCTACCAGACAGTTCCGATCCGGAGTTGGAGGAAGTCTCCGTAGAGGATGTTCTTGCTTCACCACCTCCTTATAAAGAGCCTCTGGGGACTCGACGCAGGGGTTAGCCAGCCCGCCAACGACCTGGTAATTTCGGGGACATTGGGTGGAATCTGGTCCCTGGTCCATGTGGCAGATCCTCCCCCCTTTTTTGGTAACAATTTTATTGAAATATATTTGACATACCATACAATTCACTCATTTAAAGTTTACAGTTCCGTGGTTTTTAGTATATTTAGAGAGATGAGCAATCATCACCACAATCAATTTTAAAGAACATTATCATCCCGAGGGAAACCCTGTACCTTTTAGCAGTGCCCCCCCCGCCCCCCACACCTCATTTCTCCCAGCCCTAGGCAACCACTAGTGTACTGTCTCTTTAAATTTGCCTATTCTGGACATTTCATTTGTTTATTTATTTATTTATTTTTAAAGATTTTATTTATTTATTTGAGAGAGAGAGAGAGAATGAGAGATAGAAAGCACGAGAGGGAAGAGGGTCCGAGGGAGAAGCAGACTCCCCGCTGAGCAGGAAGCCCGACGTGGGACCCGATCCCGGGACTCCAGGATCATGACCTGAGCCGAAGGCGGTCGCCCAACCAACTGAGCCACCCAGGCGCCCTGTTTATTTATTTTTTATTTAAGTTGAATGAGCCGACATATAGTACATCATTAGTTTCAGATGTAGAGTTCAATAACTCATCAGTTGCCTATAACACCCAGTGCTCATCACATCACATGCCCTCCTTAATGCCCATCACCCAGTTACCCCATCCCCCCTCAGTTTGGACATTTCATTTAAATAGAATAATATAGTATTTGATCTTTCGTGATTGGCTTCTTTTGCTTATCATGTTTTTAATGTTCATCTATGTTGTAGCATCGTTACTTGTTATTTCTTAATATTGTATGACAGTTCCTTCCATTCTCATGACATGACCAACGATTCAATAACAGGACTCTTAATTATCACCCCAAACCCCATTCCTCCCTCCCATTTTAGTTCCCAATCTCTCTGATGCGCTCTTTGGGACCAGGTAAAGGGAGGACTCTAACCCCACCCTGTCCTTAGACCCAGGGCAGTCAGAGACTTCTCAGCCAGTGTAGACACCCGTGCACATGGGGGAGGAGGAGGATCTGGCAAATGAGTGTAATGAGTAATAAGGAGAGGCCAGAAACCCAGGATATCTGGCCTTTACCAGCTAGCACTGGTGAGCTGGTCCCAAGCTCCTGGGACCCAGGTGTCCTGAGCCAGTTTTCTTCTGGCTCTTTCCACCCCGTAGGGGCCAGTGTGGAGGAAGAGGGTGAATCCCAAGATGTTGGAGATGAATATGAGGCACCCAGTCCAGAACCAAACCCTAGCATGGATGGTGACCTGGGTCGTGGAGACTTAGCCTCCAACAAGGTGGGAGGTGGCACAGCCAATCAGGATATAGGAGGAGGGCTAGCTTCGGACTCCAGAGAGGGTGGGCCTAAAACTCTGCAGTCCAATCAGAGGCCCTTTTTACTGGTGGGTGGAACCTGTTATGATTGGGCCATCCCTGTCTCTGTGTGTGTGTACCATTTATGAAGTCAATCTAGAGGGTTCAAATCGATGTAAGCACATACATTAATATCCAGCCAACCGAAAGGCAGAGAGCTTTGGAGAGGGTGAAACAGTGATGGGGAAGGGCCAACAGTTGGCCCTCGCAGGTGTTTAATGAAAGTAAGATAAATAGTATGATAAATGGGGAGATCTGGGCCATATTATATGTTATCTAGACCGAAACAACACTGCTTTTAGCTGAATGGACAGTGCTTTCCTGCAAAGAGATTCTCTAACCGGTAGACGAGGTGGGCGTGGCTTCAGAGGGCAGCTCTTAGTGGTGACCAATGAACAGATGATGAGGGCTTGGCTGCGTGGGCCCCTTGAAGGTACTGGCCAATCAGCACGTGACCGAGCCGTTTGACCAATCGGCAGAAAACATGGTTGAGAGAGGGCGTAACCCTGAGCTGTCATGGCCAATCAATAGTTGGTAAGCCTGTGGTGGAGGCGGGTCTCAACATCGCTCAAATTGAGTTTGGCGCGTGGGCTAGGGCGAAGACTTGGAAGAGAAGAAAGAGGAGTCGGAGTCTACAGTGAGGAATTCCCCACCCGCAACCGAAGAGGAGGTGTCCGAGACCCCGGAAGGCGAGGTCGGGCGGGCAGCAGCGATGTGGGGAGCTCGCCCCGCTCGCCTCCCCGTGCGCCAGGCCCTCGGCTGGGAGAGGACGTGGAAGCTTGTGTGCTGCGGCCGGCGCTGCGCGGCCCGCACGGTGCAGTGCCGCATCAGCCGCGACAAGCGCGGCGTAGACAAGGGCATGTTCCCCTTCTACTATCTCCGCCTGGAGGCGGCCTACGGCCGGAAGGTGCAGTCTGGCTGCCTCTCGAGCAAGCCCCACCTCCCAGGGGCAAGTCCCGTCCCCCCCTTTTTTTTTTTAAGATTTTATTTATTTATTTGACAGAGAGAGACACAGCGAGAGAGGGAACACAAGCAGGGGGAGTGGGAGAGGGAGAAGCAGGCTTCCCCGCGGAGCAGGGAGCCCGATGTGAGGCTCGATCCCAGGAACCTGGGATCACAACCTGAGCCGAAGGCAGACGCTCAACCACCGAGCCACCCAGGCGCCCCAGGTCCCGCCCCTTTCTGAGCGAGGTGGAGACTTTGACGAATCCAGGTCTTGTTCGATGATGACACTGAGCTAGGACTTGTGAACTCCAACGCCAAACCCTGCCCTTCACGGAACTAGGCTACTTTAGCAGTAGCATAGGCCCTAACCAAGCCCGTAACTAAGCCTCGTCCACTCTTGAGTTTGGGCCCACCTTTCTCAAAGTCAGGCCACGCTGTCTCAGGGTCCCAAACCTCACCCCTTAGACACCCTCTTGAGGTGTTGGCCCCGTTGTGTTTGTCCAAGTTCGGCCTCTCACTGAGCCTTCTAATCTATCAGGCCCCTACCCAATCCTTGGATAAGTCCCGCCCCCTAGGAACCAACTCCTCCCCCTCGTGGATTGTCTAGTCTAGAGCCAAATCACGCCCCTCTCAATCTGGCTAGTTTCCCCCTCGGTGTGGAGGCTTCTCTTCAAGGCCCTCTCCCAAAAGGAGGCTTTCCCCCTACTCAGTAGTGCTAGACCTGTTTTTGTCGGATGAAATCCCTACCAAAGTCCCGCTGCAATGTCCCAGGTGAGGCTCTTCCCTAGTCTCAGTTAGACTCACCGCTGCCTGGGCTCAGCCCTGACCCAGGACCCAACGGTGGAAGGAATGGAGGCGGGGGGAGATATTAAGATGTGAAGCTCCCCTTCAAGACCCAGCTGATGATTTCCTTCAGTGAGAACCGCATCTCGCAGCAAGTCTCAGGATGCTTTTTGCTCCATTACCCTCTCCTCTGCCGTGGGGACACGGTGTTTCCTTGTCTGGGGCCCCTAACCCTAGCCAGATATCAGAAACTGTTTTTGATGGGCCGTTCTTCCTACCCACAGCGCTTCCTCCTGGCTGGGCTCAAGAGGAAAAGGAGCAAAACCTCGAATTACCTCGTTTCCCTGGACCCCACAGACCTGTCTCGGGATGGGGACAACTTTGTGGGCAAAGTCAGGTGGGCAGAGCCCTTGATGGGTGTGAGAAATAGGTGGCAGGAGGCCTCGGGGGCGCCGGGAGGGGTGGGAGAGAAGGGGGCAAGCAGGCCGCGGAGCACAAGTTCTGCCTGCTCTCGGACCTCTTGTCTTACGGATTGATGGACTGTGTATATCTTCAGGTGGTAGCCCCAGGGTGGGTGGGAGTAAGCGAACTAAGGGCTTTGGAGCAGAGGTTGACATTTAAGACATTTGACTCCTTGAGAGGCAAGAGGGTGGGACTCCTAAGTTCGCATGGGAGAGGGCTGTGATGTATGCATTCTTGCATCTTAGCGGGAATAAGGTTCCTAAAAGGCAGGGGACTAAAAGTCGTGGCTCATCAGAGAAACAGCGGGGGCTGGGACCGTCGATGCATGGAACACGGAACTTAGGTCCCAGCTAGAGGGTTAATGGGAAGAGTTGACGACATGACCTGGGAAAGCACTTAATGTACAGCAAAAACAGTCATTATTTTTACTCGGACCACTCCCCTCCTGGAGCAGATCTAATGTCTCGGGCACCAAGTTCACCATCTTTGACAATGGGGTGAATCCTGAAAGGAAGAATTTCCTCCCCGGGACCGCTCGCATCAGAGGAGCTGGGGGCTGTGTGTTATGTGAGTGTCTGGGAGACAAGAGAGAATGAAGCAGGACGGTGGGGAGGGAGAAAGAGCCAGGTCAACTGGAGCATAATACCCCCAGGAGACCAACGTCTTGGGATTCCGAGGGCCCCGGAAAATGGCTGTGATCATTCCAAGAATCGATTCCGAGAACCGGAGAATCAGCGTCCAGCCTCAAAACGTGAGTTGGCTAAGGTTGAGAATCTCTGGATCAGTGGGGGAGGAAGGTCTGAGGGACCTGCCCTAGGTCCTAAGGGAGAAGGGGGCCCATGGCTTGCAGGTGGTCATATGTGAAGCCAGGACTTTGTCAGACTTTCATGTTTCTCAAGGAGGAGAGATTAGGGAAGCAAAATTCTGCGTCCGGAGGAAAAACGTTCATTGGTGGTTGGTTAACCACGCCCCCTACTCTATCTTATAGGAACAGGAGTCGCTACTGAGTCGCCTCCAACGGGCGGCCAGCCAGGGGCTGGTCCTGCTGCAAAACAAACCCCCGTCGTGGAACGACGAGAGCGGCGCCTACGTACTCAATTTTCATGGTCGAGTCACTCGGGACTCGGTCAAGAACTTCCAAATCGTGCAGCCGGATGACCGTGAGCTCCTAGGAACCGCTTTACCTGGGCCGGGGGGGCAAGAGTGGACGAAAACTACTTCTCCCGTCAGCACTTGAGCGTTTTTCTAGGGAGGGCTGATTCCACGCTGTTGCAAAGCCTATTGGGAACTGTAGTTTAATGGCCCTCAGGGTTTCTGGGCGTAGTGGGAGCGCCGCACAGCCTCTGAGAAGTGGTAGTACTCAAAGCTCAGAGGCCCGCGGAAGGGAGTTGAGGAGTGGGGCTAGGGCTTACTTAGTTCCGGACTTTCGCCTCAGCGGACTACCTGGTGCTCCAGTTCGGCCGCGTGGCCCCAGAAACGTTCACCATGGATTTCCGCTTCCCGCTTTGCCCGCTCCAAGCCTTTGCCATCTGCTTGTCCAGTTTCGATGGCACGCTGGCCTGTGAGTAATCCAGTGAAATACCATGCCCTCACCAGCTTCTGTGCCTGCTCATTTGGAGAAAGGGCCCCCGCATGCCTTCTTTTGCACCACCTTACTCATAACCAACCCATCATACTCTGCCTGGGTGCCCAGTCCTGTGCTCCAGGGAAGTAGGGCTTTCAGCAGCACCTGCTTTCGCAGGACTCAGTCATGGGAGATGGATCTTAAACAACAAAAAATTAAAATGCGCCTCTGCTAGGAAGGAGAAAAGCACGCGGAGGCCCAGGTCAGCTGGGTCAGATCAAGGTATCCCCAAAAAAGTGATTTCCACACCACATCTGAAGAATCACGAGAAACCAGGGCCAGAGGGGTCAGGGGTGGGAACATCAGGCAGTAGGCACAGCTCATACAAAGGTCTAAAGGTGAAAAGGGGCTTGATCGGTTTGGGAAAATGAAAGGATAGCGTGGCAGGAGCCTGGGGAACGACTGGAGAGGGGCAGGGTCAGAGGCTCGACAGGGGGCAGGATGTGTGAGCCACTCTGCTTTCAGCTGCTGGATAGATCTCATGGGATCAGAAAAGACTTCTGAGTTGGAGATGTAAACTTGGATGGGTAATTCAAGACATGCATGGGTGAGAGTGAGAATAATTACAATACTAGCAACGCTTATTTAACATTTGTTATTTGGCAAGCATTGTTTTAAATATGGATTTGGGATGCTTGGCTGGCTCAGTCGGTGGATGGTGGGATCTTGATTTCAGGGTTGTGAGTTCAAGCCCCTTGCTGGGTGTAGGGATTACTTAAAAATGAAATCTTAAAAAAAATTAAAAAGGCAAATAAATAAATACGAACTCTTTTGGGGCCTTTCGATCCTACAAGGCATGTGCTATTGTTAGCCACATTTTATAGGTAAGAAAACAGTCTATGGAACAGGGCTTTAAAAAGGTGAAATTGGGTCACTGAAAGCCTTGAGCAACTCACCATTTAAAGGCCAGCAGGAGGATGAGTATATTCCAGGGAGGCACAGAAAACTGGAATCGAACCCTTTTTTAGTGATCAGTGAGTCCAGCTCCCAGCCCCTTTGGGGAGATAATCGTCCCAAGTTTAATAAAATTGAGGCCGATGCCAGAGAAAAACTACAAGACCCACCAGCCCTTAGTTCAAAAGAAGCCTCAGGACAAGAAGAGGCAAATTTGAGGGATGATGGGAAATAACAGTTTGTCCTCTATTGAGGTACTCACCTTTATCCCAGGGGTAGTGGATTATTGTCAGTTCAGATACACACAGTGATGGTGACATGGCTTGCTACAAATCAGCAGGTTTTATTTCTTATATATAACAACCCCCTCAAAATAAATAGCTAACAGAAACAGGAAACTCCATGATCTTAGCCACGCCTCCCACTGAGGTCCAGGCAAGAGACGGGGACACAAGAGTGGAGGGAGATGCCCCAACATGGCTCAAGGGTGTGGCCTAGATGGAGGACAATGGTGAGATCTGGGGAGGAGCAGCTGTGGCGGCCAGAGGAGGGGGAGGGTTCCCACAGCGGGCCCAGGCCCTAGCCCGGGCGGCAGGGGTGAGACAGGCGCCCAGCTGCTCCTGGGCCTGGGCAATCCGCCGGGCAAAGCGACTGCGATCCCGGGCCAGCTGCTCCCAGGGTCCCCGGCGGGCGGCCTGGGCCGGTCCTGCCCAGACAGCCAGGAGATGGACAGAGACCTTCTCAGAGAAGTGTACCTGGAGACGGGAGCAGCACAGATGCAAGACACACGTGTCCACAGTAGGCGGGGGGGGGGGGGGGGGGGAGAGAGAGGACCAAAACAAAAATGAGTGACGCCAAAATGCTTGTTGTCTGAGTCACCTGCTAGTCACTGGCCCACGGCATTCTCCACGTGACTCACTGCAGGTAGAGACTGTTTCCCGGTGCTGATCTGAGCCACACCTCACCCCCCTTCCCACGGGGCCCCAGCCTCTTGCAAAGGCTTGCATTACAGTGAACACAGCCCTCCCAACGGAGTTCACATGCAACCCTCTGCAACACACGGGGGACCCAGAAGTTGGGCCATCCAGCCCTTCCGCTCCCCTCCGCCCCACTCCCCAGGCCCAGGAGTTCCAAATCCTCCCTAAGCCTCAAGAAATTGAGTCCTCAGTACCCACCTTTCTGGCCTTTAGGGGAGTCTCGGGGTCTGGATGCCGGGTGGGGGTTTCTGTGGGCTTGAGTCGCCTCTGCAGTCGGAGGGGCAGCCGAGGACGAACCCAGGGAGGTGGTGGCTTCTCCCCAGGTAAATAGATGGCCACTCGGAAGGGGCAGGGCTCAGCTTCTCCCCACGCCTCAGCAACTTCCCCTCCCTCTGTGTCCTCTCCAGGCCGATATGTCCAGCCCCGGTGGAGGGTGCTCTGAGCCTGAAGGGAGGGACTTGGCTCAGAGTTAGCTGCTTCTGAATCCTCTTCCGGCTCTGTGTCCTCTCCTGGCCTATACACCCAGGCCCTTAAAAAGGTATCTGTGGCCTCAGCTTCTCCCTCCTCCTCAGCTGCTCCCCAATCACTGTCCTCC